TCTGTTTGAGGTCGCGCGTTGGGCCGCGATATTCGTCTGTTTTATCTCAAACGGACGCACCCGGACAGGTCGCGCGGTGAAGTTGACCTAACTCACGAGATTTGATTCGCACGAGGGTGGGTGCACTGTCCTTACATGTCGCAAACTGAAAGGCTGGAGCGCTGCGCGCGTGGACGCGTTCGGCCCAAAGTTCCTCCGGGGCGCCGCACCCAAGCGTTTCCCTATTGCAAATCATCAATTACCAGGCTCACGTACATAGAGTGCGTCTTCGTATCCCGTGTTTCTTATCCAACGGTTCAAAAAGCGGAACACGGCGGCCGCCGAGCACCAGCCTCGTCGGCTCGCCGCGACTTCCGCCTGAGAGAAACTGGATTTCGGCGACTGAATTGCGTGCGTGCGTGCGTGCGTGCGTGTGGGGCGCAGACGGCTGAGAGCGCGTGGCCGCGTAGGCGTAGCAGTCGCGGGAGGTTAAGAAGCTCATTGCCCTCTTCCGGGCTGGCGGCACGTGCTCGTCCTCTCACACCTCGTCGGTGATCGCGATCCTCATGGCCGCGCTGTCGTCACTGACACTCTCCCGGATCCCAACCTCCTCCTGCCTGGCTGCTCTGAGCTCGGCCGCCTCCGTGACGCCAGCCACCTGTTCGTCCCGATGCCTCGGTTGAACCCCGTCTCCTGGGGCTCCGCCATCTTCATATACGCGCAGCAGGACACGAGGAAGACGCCACCGCCCTCTTCGTGGCCTTCTGGAGGGCCTCTGACGGCGAGGCGCCCCATGAGTTCCTCTTCGCCAGCACCCTAGGGCCTGCTCTCAGTAGAGGGCGGTCGTGAACTGCCAGTCAAAGCTGTGTTAGTGAGATGGAAGAGGTCGAATTATGGATACTGTGGCTACCAACTTCCCGCCATGTCGTGTGTTCCAAGCGTTCTGTGCTTGTCATAAACCATAAGTGTCATATTGAACTTGTATTAAGAATCGATGATAATCCAGGGGAGCTGCACCAGCCGCCAGGCAGAGAAAGAAATATGTGTGCATTTGATGTTCTTTGTAATTGTTTCAGGAAATCAGGACAATTCATCTAATGTTCCCAACGTCAGAAAAGCCTCTACAAGCTATGCTGAAAACAAGAAGTCAGTCAAAGCCAAATAGTTCGATGAAGTCCAGCTGCTCAAGTGCATGTATAGGGTGCTTTGGTCCTGTTTGATGATGGTGATCACATGACTTATGCCGATCTTATGGTAATTATTCATTAACCAGGACCTCGTCTTTCTATCTACGTGTTCAGCTATTGTTCGAAAACCTATGATGGTGCACATGCTTCCAGGCCCACCTATAGAATTAACAGTACACTGTTTTTAACTGCGATGAATAAAAAAATACACTGTTGGTAGTCAGGCAATATCTGTTACTGATTGCTAAAAAATTGTACTTCAAAATTTACAATAATTATTAATGAAGTCAGATCATGTCAAGGAGATCGGTCTTGTAAGCTTGAGCCAACTGAAATCTCAGCTTCAATTCAAGTCGTGGCTTCAAGACCCTGTCTTGAAGCTGAGATTTCCTTGATGCAGGCACCTAAACTAGATAACACAGGCTAATACACTGTAACCAATTCTCCATTGGCCCATGGAATACACAGCATCAACCTTCTATGATTTCGAAAACTAGGAGTCTCCTTGTGGTGGCCAAAAGAAAGTACCCATACATGCAATTATTTCTTATCAAGGAGATGCACACGTGGCACAGTCGAGATTCTCATTTCTAGATCCATTTAGACAGAAAACTGTTACCGATTAATTATCATTACACACAGGAACGATACTGTGGAACTGGCCGGTGCCATGCATCATTGTAAGTTCTTAGAGATGTACATGAACAGAATTGACAATGAGTATGATAAAGCATTCATTCCTAGCTTGTTTGTGGTACTTGGGGTATGGCATACTCCAGCATGCATCAATTAGTAATACATTTGGCAGCATTTCAGCGATGCTGCCAAGACAATCTTCAGTATTGTCTTGCAGAAATCTTTCAGCCGAGTAGTATATACCACTATAATTGATTGCCCACTCACATTTTAGATGAGCACGTCTGCGCCATCCATCATAGGACTGGTGTGGCTCCTGTCTGGTAAGCCTCCTTGCTTCTTCATGCTATCAACACTAGGGGATGCCACATCGGCCCTCGGTCTTAGCTTTTATGAACTGGACTACAATGCATCATTCTCTTCTGAGTCCAAACAATCCATATTGCTGAACAGCTCTTGAACCTCTTCAAATGCTTCAACTAGTAGGTTCTCCTTGGTTACCTCCATGGCCATTTATGAGAAGATAACTTTTTGGCCACAAATGACAAACATCACTTAGTTTTTGCGCAATTTTACGAGAGAAAATTAAGTTGATTGTGAGGATGATTAGGATTACATTACCTCAACTTTGAAGTTCTCCAGGAATCTATCTTTAGCGTCCCACATCATATCGATTTCATCACGGTCTAGCATCAGAATTTATGATCTGATAAATGATGTATTGAACATTACTGGGAACATCGTCTCTTCTCGTTCTTTATCAGCATCAATGCTGGTGCATTCAAGGACAACATCGCCTTGGATATGGCAGTGCACGTCAATCTTATTCATGTCGTCCTCAGCCTAAGAAGAGAATGTTAATAACGAGTGCCAACAGACAACAGGCTTGCTAATTCTTGAAATATTAACATTTTAAACTTGCCTGCTTGTAAACCCTAACATATTTCTTTGCTGTAGAGAAAAGGACCTTGGGATTTTGTGCCACCGAGATGGGTCAAAAGTGTGTAACAGTTGGATTTTATGTGGAGGCTATATATACCCCTCCACCCCTTCTTCCTCATTGAGGAGAGCCATCAGAATTTGTCTACACTTTCATCATTTATTTTCCGAGCGAGAACCACTAACTCAGGTGTTGAGATAAAGAGTTTTCATTCCCACCATTTGAATCTTGATTTCAAGCCTTCCCCAATTTGCTTTCAAATCAAATCCCTCTTCCACCATAGCCAAATCTGTGAGAGAGAGTTGAGTGTTGGGGAGAGTATCATTTGAAGCACAAGAGCAAGGAGTTCATCATCAACACACCGTGTATTATCTTTTGAAGAGTGGTGTCTCCTAGATTGGTTAGGTGTCGCTTGGAAGCCTCTGACATGATGTGGAGTTGAACCAAGAAGTTTGTAAGGGTAAGGAGATCGCCTAATTCGTGAAGATTTACCGGAGTGAGGCAAGTCCTTCGTGGACAATAGTCATGGTGGGATAGATAAGGTTGCTTCTTTGTGGACCCTTCGTGGGTGGAGCCCTCCGTGGACTCACGCAGTTGTTACCCTTCGTGGATTGAAGTCTTCATCAACGTGGATGTACCATAGCACCACTATCAAAACCACTCCAAAAATCTTCATGTCTCCATTGCGTTTGCCTTCTTCAAATCCTTCCCTTTACCTTCATATGCTATGTTTTACATTCCGTTGCTATACTCTTAGAATTGCATGTGCAGGTTGATTGCTTGACTTGGCATAATTGCTAAAGTCTGCCCAGAACTAAAATTGAGAAAATGATATATTTTTATTTGGTCAAGTAGTCTAATTACCCCTCCCCCCTCTAGACATACTTTCAAAATCAGAGAGAAAAGGCATAGTAATTATATTATAACGTGAAATAACAATCCATAATGCAATAAATATCAATAGGAAAACATGATGCAAAATGGACGTATCAGCCATCATCCTTGGCACGCTCCATCATGACCGCTAACATACCAGTCACTATAATGAATAGCATGAGCGATATTTGGTCACCTTGTCGCAATCCATTCTTCCTTTCAAAATATTGGCCAACGTAGTCATTGACTTTAATGGCCACACTACCTCCAGATAGGAAACTATGGATCATAGCGCACCATTCTGCAGAAAATCCTTTCATTCTGAGTGTTTGTCAAGAAAAGACGCTTGAATTTGTCATAAGATTTTCTAAAGCTGATTTTAAGTACCACCCCATTCAATTTATTTGGATGTAACTCGTGGACTGTTTCATGAAGGATAACAACTCCATCTAGGATGTTTTTGTCTTGCAAATAAGCAGTCTCTGAAGGATGAACCACATGGTCAGCAACCAAATTTAGCCGAATCATCATAAGTTTCGTGAAGATTTTAAAACTAACCTTAAGGAGGCAGCTTGGTCTATATTGTTGCATCCTTTCAGCCTCATTAACCTTAGGTAATATAGTAATCTCACCGAATTTTCAGCGAAACAATTCCGACTGCCAGCATGTAGGTAGCCAAATAAAAGAAGGAGATCCGGTTTGATGACTTCCCAGAAGTTTTGGTAGAACTCAGCAAACCATCCCGATCCAGGGGTTTGTTGTGCTCCATTAGGAAAACCAGATTTCTAACTTCCTCCTTAGAATATGGAGTTGTTAGAAGGCTATTTTCCTCATCAGAGACCTAGGGAATGTCATCTGTTCAGGACTCATCCATCGAGAAGTATCCTTCCTCTGGGTGCCAATCAGATTTTTATAATAATTGGTGATAAAAAATTTAAGTTGCTCATGCTCCTTAATCGTACCCTCCTCCTATTGTAGGGATTGAATAAGTTTCTTTCAGTGTCTATCATTGATGACACCATGGAAATATCTAGTATTTTAGTTACCTTTCAGGATAAATTTAGAGGTAGAATGTTGGTACCATTCAAGTTCCTGCTCACACAGCATGCGAGCTATTTATACATTTGATTGACTCTTGATCTCGATAAAAAGATTTTAGACAGATAAATTGATGAGATGAAAAAAGGCTACCAAGCTTGGTTAAATGAGGATGTCAATGAAAATGACAACAAGATTTATTGAATCATGAGATGACCGACAGTTACATAATTGCTATCAAGTACACAAACACATAATGATGAAGTTCGTCGTTCCACATACTACGCAGGGCTTGACTGTTATTGTGCTGCCCTAGGAACATCTTCTCCTACCTCTGTCAAGACTCACACCTCATCACACACTGCGTTTGGATGGCCATTATTGGAAGCTAATTTGCCGGTCAGGCTTAATAACCGGCCCAACACAATTTGGATTGTTGGACGGTCACCACGTCTTGTTTCGACACAACAGAGCCCAATCGATAGTGCTGCTTTGATTTCCTCATCAAACTCGCCCCTTAGTTGTTGGTCAGCTGCATCGAGAATGGCATTTCTCTTCTCACATCCTCGGACCTTCTCGATGAGGCTGTTTTTCCCAGCGCCGTCAATTAGGACTGGCTCCTCGCCACATACAACCTCAAGCAACAGCACACCGAAGCTGTACACATCAGATTCCTTAGTTATCTTCCCGGTGTTCCGGTATGCTGGGTCCATGTAGACTTGTGTTCCAATGATGTTGTTCGTCGAGCGTGAGGTTATTGCGTGGGTGAGTTGCGTCACCAGCCCGAAGTCACACAGTTTAGCATTGGAGTCCCTATCCAGCATCACATTGCCTGGCTTGATGTCCCTATGCAGGACACATTTAGCGCATTTAGCATGGAGGTATTCAAGACCCCAGGTTATTCCAAGCAGTATGTTATACCTGAAACACAAACATTGAGTTCTCTGTCAGACAAGTAATTTGAAGGTTATAGTCTCCTGGTTACTTTCCATGATGGAAAATAATAATAAGAAAAGGTTATATTGAAAAACATTTACTTTGGAGTTATGTAACATATATTCGTGTGATAACTACCTTTTCCGCCAATCTAGATCAAGGCTTGAACCCCGAGCCCTTACACCGGTTAGTTCTGCGTCCACACGAGCACCACGGCCATAAAGCCGAGCCTGAAGGTTGCGATCCTCCACTAGTTCGTAAACAAGCAAGAGATTGTCCTCTTCGTCGCACGAACCCACAAGACGTATAATGTTGGAATGGTTCAGCGGGCTCATAATCTCAACTTCGTTCTTAAAGGCAGCCCTAGCTTCATCTGACACAACAAGTGCCGTTTTTATAGCCACGTCCACCTCTTTGTCTTGCACCATCACTGCACCTTTATAGACAACACCAAAGGCACCCTGTCCAAGCCTTCGTGTGTCTGCGAAGTCACGGGTTGCACCCACCAATTGTTGGTAAGTGAATTTGTGAGCATTTGGGTGTGCAAGTGTTTGCGTGTCCGTCTGTGTCTGTATTGTGTTATGCAAACGAAAAAACTTTCGTTCATTCCCTATAAAAACAAAATGAGCAACATAAGTCCTTGTTGGAAATGGATGAGAGACAACATACTCTATTTCCTCCTATTCGTATTAATTGTCCCTAATTTAGTACAATCAACGACAATTAATATAGATCAAAGAGAGTAAAAAAGTACCAATTATAGTCCAACGAGAAGGGTCACACGAACCTGCTGTGCCCTTGCATCCATACCAAATCAAACCTGCACAAGCCAACAAAATTAGGCCAACTACAGAACCCACCACACCAGCTGTCAGAGAACCTGCACAAGCACAAGATAGAGTTATGAGGGCCTTATCACAAACAGCAACCAACGAGGACCTAGCACAAGCACAAGAGACAGAGTTATGATTTCCTAGAGTTTTTCAATTTGGATCTCAAATATTGTAGTCTGACAGATTCTTGTTGTTAGTACAACATACTATTCGTTCAGAATTTTGTGATATTTTTATTTTTTTTAAATGAAAGCGATCTTTCCCCGTTTTTCGCAAATTAGGTTTTATTAACTTGTTGCACAGGTTATTAGCATGCATGCATCTGTGTGTGTCGCGTAGGGCCTTGCTTATATACCTTTTCCCGCGGCGCTGCTCGACTGAGTAGCTGATGTGGTCGCTTGATCTACAGATTGCGGCGTAGGGGCACCATCGAACGGCACAACCACGAAGCTGGTGTTGCCGTACCAAATATGTTTCCTTGAACATGTAGGGGCTAGGGGCTCTACGTGGATATGAAGCCATGTGACAGTCCAATTCTCTTCTTCTTTTTTTGCTTCTTTCGTAACGTTATACGTGGAGGCTGTGCCAAATATGTTTTTTCCTTGAACTTGTGTTTAATTGTACATGTGTCTTGCAAATCTCCTTGGCCCAGCATGTTATATATTTTACACATATTGAACGGTCAGATAATCTTAATTTAAGAGAACCAATAGATCAAGGGCCAGTATTTTCTGATTAAAATAGTATTTTTCTAGCCTATTTCTCTTGCTCCAGGTTGTCCATATATTAGTTTTATTATAGTATACATAAATAGATAGATCGAGTCATTTTGGACCTAGTCTTAGGCCAAATATAAACGGATTTGCTAAAAAATACTTTGTCTCCGCACTTTGTTTAATAATATGGCTGCATGCATCATTCTGATGCAGAGGAGGCCGGGGGCTATCCTCCTTTTCCAAAAAAAAAAAACAATACTTTGTCGATCCAAAAATATAAGGTCTATATATTTTTGAAAGTCACACTTTTCTAGGACCGACCAAATTTACAGGAAAAACCATCAACATCTTGAACACCAGATAAATAAAATTTGAAGATATATTTGATGATGAATCTAATAATACTAACTTGGCATTGTATTTTTTAAATAAACGTAGTCAATCATAAAATAGTTGACTTATGAGGAAAAGTACCTAATATTTTGAAAGAAGAGAGTAGCCAGTTATTTTCATTACCAACAACAAGGACAAAACAAAGTTCATTTTTCCTGCAAATTCATCTTTCTTACAAAATATTGTAAAAATTGCCTATATCCCCCAAACACCTAAAAAGACGTTTTTCTGTTAAATATAGGATCATCTGTGTATATCAAGTAGAACCTTGGTACTACGTACCTTTGCCGCCGCTGGACTGAGCAGTAGCTGATCTGGCCGCTTGATCTACGTATTGCGGCGTAGGAGCAGCACCGAACGTCACAACCATGAAGCTGGTGTTGCTGTACCTAGCAGCACAGCTATAGGTCCTGCGCTTGCCATCTAGGGAAACCCTGTCCTTGGACCAACTGGAGAACAACACCTGCAGGCACTGCTTGCACAGGTCCGGTGGCAGGTCCCACGTGCACTGCACCAACATGTATGGATATCCCGACGACGCCCCGAATCGCTGCGGTGAGGCCATTGCGGCCTTTGCCGCCACGTTTAAGTTTCTCTCCAAGTCGTCAGTGTACTGCTGTGGCTGCCTGGATGTTGGACCACCATGCCACGTGTATATAACACCTGCACAGACGGAAGTACACAGTTTTTCTTATGGTTATGGAATCCGTCCATATTTTTTACACGTATTGATCCTATCTCATAGAGCTACTCCCTCAGTTTTTCAAAATAATTGAAGTTTTATGTTTGTGCTATCTCAAAAACATCTTAGTAAGTTTGATCAAGTTAATGTGTAGATAAATATATTCACATCTACAACACCAAATTAGCTTCAATAGATTCATCGTAACCTAGAGGGAGTAGCTACTTGTATTGGTATCGATCAATCCACATAGAGGCCGGAAGTATATAACCCCCATTTCAAAAAAGAAAGGGCACTTGTTCTGCTTTACTGGTGGAAAAATTCATCTAGATTTTACACCTAATTAATCTTACTATCTCAAACGAAACTATACATATATCATGGCACATAAAGCAATGGAGTACCTAATTCAGCTGCGCCAAAGAAGTTGGTGTCTGAGTAGCGGACGAGGCACGCGTCGAACCAGGCCAGCACAGTGGTGCTCCCGGAGCAGCGGTTCAGCAGACCATCAGCGCTGCTGCTAGCAGTGGCCGCGAGGCAGTCACCGCAGTCAGAGCGCGAGTGGTCAGCGGAGCACATTGCGAGGCCATACACAGTGCCCACGCCCACGCCGACCGTGCCGTTGAAGAAGCCGCCATTCTCGGAGACGGTCTTCTCCGGGAGTGAAGCAAGGAACTGGTTCAGGTTGGCAGCGTAGGCACTACCAGAGGTGTAGTTGCCGGACGTTGAACACTGCATGGCCTGAGGCATGTGTGAACTCACGGCTGCATCGGAGGCTGTGTATAATGGAGCCAGCAGGTGGAAGCAAAGTAACAAGAATGGAGGAAATGAGGGTCGTCGGAGTGCCATGGCTCTATAAGTTAGCCTTGTTGCTTGGTTTGCTGTTGTGAAGGAAGAAGGCGACTGCATGGGTTTATATACACGAGGCACTGCTCGAGGTAGACCCGTACGTTCTACACTGGTATAGACAGGCCAACTAACTCCGTGTTCATAAATTATTCTTTATGACTTGATTTGACTACTATACATCAAGTGGAGTCTTAACCATACTTTTTTTGAGTTGGAAGTCTAACCATACTTAGTGTGCTTCTTATCTTTCTTTATTCTAAACGGTTTTCTAATACAACATCCTCATTAAGCCATATCACCCTACAAAACAGCCGTTGGATTATAACAAGACTTAATCATACCCGTTAGATCTTGGCACTGGGGACCTACGAACAATCATGTCTTGATTTTTTAGTGGAGGCCCGGCCGCTTTTGGGAGGTTTCCCATCCCATGTTTAAGAAAAAGGATTTGTGACGTCCATGTTGCAATTACACAAGATACATGATATACTAAAAAAAAAGTCGCTCAGAGTAGAAGCCGACATTCGAATCATCAACGCGCATGTGAAGGGAGTTCACATGTACCTAATTTGTTCCAAGTTACCGGGCGGCAGGTCCGGTTAGCAACACTAGTAGAAAAAGAGGCTTCCGTCCAGCCTCATTAGTCGGGAAACTGTAGGAACCGCGACTAATGAAGTCTTTAGTCGCGGTTCGGCAGACGAACCGCGACCAAAGGCTTGGGCCAGGGCGCTCGGTGGCCAGCTGGTGCACGTGAGGGGCTTTAGTCGCGGTTGGGCAAGCCAACCGCGACTAAAGGTGCCCAAAGTCCTTTAGTCGCGGTTGGCCTGGCCAACCGCGACTAAAGCTCCTCCCCTATATATACCAGTTCAGCGCACTCACTTAGCCATTTGGTGCCACTTCTCTTCACAAGGGGGTGTAGGTTTGCTTTTGGTTCCTCTTATGCACACAAGGTGTTTGATGAAATGCCCAACAGCGTGAAACAAACATGATATGAAGTGTTGGAGCCACACTTGAGGTTCCTCCTCGATCGCGGTTAGCAACTTGAACCTTTCATGCATGTGTGTCATTGATAAAATATGCATGTGTGTTGTTCATTGTTTAATTTCTATTGTTTATAGCTAGTTACTTTAACAAATGCATGATGGTTAATTATATATTTTATATTATAATAATGCAGATGAATCGGCAATGGATGTACGGTAACCGACTCTCCCGCGAGTTCACTACGGGTTTGAAAGATTTCCTCGTAGTGGCTAATGCGAACAAGCAGAAGGGTTTTGTTATCTGTCCATGTGTTGACTGTAAGAATCAGAAGGGCGCAGCATGAAGATCATCCAGCGGATCTCAGAAGCCAGCAGCGGAGAAGCAGTGTGGCTTCCACGGAGGCCCCACCGGCTGGTGCAGATGCACCGACGATCGAAATTACTGCACCTGAGCCTCTGGTGGTCGAAATTACTGCACCGGAGACTCTGGTGGTCGAAATTACTGCACCGGAGCCTCCTCGCTACCCCGTGGACGATATAAAGGAGATGAAAGAATGTCATCTGTATTATCCTATCGGGAACATGTCCGTGAAGGTAGCCATCGGCAGTGCTTTACCATGTTTACCTGGAGCACTCCACCACAACACCCCCATTCAAGATGGCTATGCTCGTGTCACGGTGGAGGACATAGTCCAAGGGTTTGAGGACCTGGAGATTGACATTGCTACACCTGAAGGGGAGAAAAGACTTGGAGATGTCAAGCGCCATTTCATTCTATGGCAAAAGAAGTTTATCAAGTTTCCAGGCGAGGCGCCAAGGACAACAAGTCCACCCCCCTACGGTGGTGGCGGTTCACCTACACCTCCGTCACGTCAGCCGACGCCCCCCAGTCCACAACGTCCGGCGGGTGATCAGACGCCGCCCCCCAGTCCTCGTCCGGCGGGTGATCAGACGCCGCCCCCCAATCCACCTCCGGCAAAGAAGCAGAAGCAGTCCTGGATTATTAACCCGGACCCTTATGTACCTAAGACCACAAAGGTACCGGAGCCATCATTGAAGCCTCTCCCCACAAGGCCTTGGGAACGTAGTGCCGAGGAAACTGCCGCGGCCGCGGCTCCTGATCATGAGAAATGGAAGGCGGACTGCAAGAAGAAAAGAGAGCCCGAGCCCAAGCCAGTATTTTCTGATGAGCAAAAGAAGTGGGCTAAGTCATTTTTGAGCACACCGTCCCAAGCCACGAAGAATCTGCCTGACGACTATGCACGTGAACTTCGTAGGCAGGCACTCATGTTGAAGGAGAAGAAAGAGCGGGCGGAGAACCAGGAGAACAAAGCCTTGGAGGAGGCCGAGAAAACGGAATTAGAAAGTAAAAAAAGCGGGAAACGAGTTGCCCAGCTCGGGGAACAAAGTAAACAATCGATTGCCCCGCTTATAGTGAAAGCCGCCGGTCCGGATGACCCCGATATCATAGCAGCTGCGGTAGCACATGGATTGACTGTAACGAGTGCCAGAGAACAAGCGGCCAACTTAGGTATTACTCTTCGTGAACTGTTAGGCCTTGATGAGGCGCCAGTGAAGGAGGTAGTAATTACATATGTGAAGAATGGGCCTCTCGTCGAGCCTGCGCAGGAACAGGATCTACCTCCACAAATGAAAGGTCTGCTGAAATGGTACAAGGGTTACATAAAAAATAAAAACGCCAAAGAATATATTTATGCGGAAGTTAGATATGAGCATCACTTCAAACATTACTATGTACAAATTCATCTGAGTGAATTGTTCCAGCTTTTCAATCTGCGCGAGCTCGAGAAATCTATCATCAGTTGCTACGTTCTGTAAGTGATTTATTTCTACCCCATCTCATTCATATTGCCTGCACTATATATATGTCCTAACTATATTGTTGTGTCCGCTATTATACATGCAGAATGAAGATTAAGAAATGCAGAGTAAGGAACATCCATAATGTTGGGTTCATTGACCCACACATCGTTAATGGATATGTGTTGGAGCATCACCCCGCCGACAAGGAGGCAGACCTGTGGCAGTTTCTTACAAAGCAGGAACTCAAAAGTGATATTCTATTTCCTTACCATTTTGGGTGAGTGTTTCTGTCTTGAGCACATTCTCTTTTGTTTACTCCATGCATGGTATGTGGCCGGCTAATCGATGAGTTATGCATGACATACTGTGCATGTATCGTGTCCGCAGGTTCCACTGGATTCTGCTAGTAATTAAAGTTGACACCTCAGAATGTCTCGTCCACGACTCTCTGAATAAGGATCCAAAGCTTTGGGTCGACATGAGAAGAATGCTGCAGAAGTAATTATTTTCATTCATTTGCGCTCTATATCGATCGGCCTATTTCGTTCATTTCCTAATATCAAGTAACTAATAACTCTCTTGTTCATTTAATTTTCTTTGCCTCGTAGGGTTTGAAGACGGTTCGTAGATACAAAGGTCGGTGAATTCAAAAAAGAGCTAGAATTCAAAAGGGCAAAGGCTAAGAATGGTGAGGATATTCAGCCAGCGGGGACCAATCTATGTGCATACTATGTCTGTGAGATGATCCGGAGATACACCTCTGAGCGGGTTCCGAGTGATACCAATGCTCAGAGGAATAACCTCCGGATGATGCTTAGTCCAGAAGCTCGCTTCCGACCACTTCAAGAGGAACTAGCTGGATGGTTCAGGAGGGAAGTCCTCCATCCTAAAGGAGAACACCATTACGACGACGTAGAACTTTATATGCATTAAATTATGTATGGAAACTTGTTCAAAATTGTATATGGTCATCCGATGATATTGAATATATATTGTATATTCCTCTTGAATTCTTTTTGGTTCTAATTTCAAATTTGTTTGAAATTGTACATTCATATGCATGTATGTAGTACCGTAGAATATGTGAAACTCCTTCAAAATTAAAATAAAGCACAAAAGAAATAAAACAATACATATTAAACAGAAAACAGGTTTAAGGGGGGCGGGCTAAAACCCTAAACCTGCGGCGGCCTTTAGTCGCGGTTGGCCAGAAGAACCGCGACTAAAGGTCCTCCGCCCCGACGGCCACCTGGCGCCCACGTGGACGGGCCTTTAGTCGCGGTTCTTAAGCAACCGCGACTAAAGGGTGAGACCTTTAGTCGCGCCCGTTCGGTCGCGGTTGCGCAACCGCGACTAATGGCAGTTGCGAACCGCGACCAAAGACCCTTTTTCCACCAGTGCAATCTCATATATACCTTGGTATTGATGTTGATATATGCAATAATTTGTTCCAAATGCCAACATCTTTTATTATATCGAGTATTTTATACCTTGGTTTACTTATACTAAGAGATAGGGTTTACTTATACTATGTTCCAAAAAACCCTATCTCATACCTTGGTATCGATTTGAGCGATTTGGTACTAGCTTGGGGTAGACTCTAAAAATGATGTTTTATCAGTATAAATAATTGATTTAAACACACATGGTGATTATCTATCAAGATTAACAGTAGGCCAATAGCTAGCTGATCGAACTAACACGCCAAGGTATTAATTAGCTAGGATTAACAAACATATATATTACCCACATGCATGCACAAATAGAGCATTGGATTTAACTTAAGAAAATGATGTATTTGCAACTGTAGCAACAAATACTACTGAGATAGGATGATTTGACTTCGAAAGACTTCTCCATTTTTCTGGCTAACTGTACGGACTAACTGTAGAATTTCTTGTATGGACTAAATGTAGAATTTATTTTACCAGGGGTCAAATAGTTAATTTGACTTCTCTAATTTTTTCAGACAAATGATGAATTTTATTGACTTGAAATCAAGCATCAGTTAGATCAAATATAATCGTTAATTTTACATGGCTCTATTGAATAGAAAAGACTTGAGCATAGCATAGCAAGTCTTGCTACCCCTTTTTTTAGTTCATACTACGCATGCAGATGCCCAGTTGTTATGCTTTGTTGTTTACCTTGGCAACTAACCCACAAGTTGGTCCTTTTTGTACGTATATGTACTCAGAATAAAAGAATTCTTGATACTCGAATCCAATTTTTTTGTCATCTAATGGCCCATTC